GCCTCCTCCCTGGGGGATGGGCAGCAGAGAAGAAGGCGGAGGGAAACTTATGACAAAACTATAATAATTTAGGAACTATGAAGGGTTCATGAGGGAGAAGGGAGTGGAGAGGGAGGGGGAAATGAGCAACTGATATTAGGGGCTAGAGTGGGAGGCAAATGTTTTGAGAATGATGAGGGCAACAAATGTGCATATGTGCTTGACACAATGTATGTATGTATGTATGTATGGATTGTGATGAGAATTGTACGAGCCCCCAATAAAATAATTTTTAAAAAAGGATGCAAATAACAGTGCATGAAAATATTCTACATCATACCTTGGTGAATGAATACTGTCTGGCGACATAAAAGTCTGTATGCTGCTGGGTCTCTACTCCTCTGGAACAAAAGAGAATAAAGAAAACCAAAAGACTCAAAGAAGAAACCAGCCCACAGAACTAAGAGTCCTCATGAATCATGGCCTCATCTAGCTAGAAAGCCGAAGAACTAGATAGTGCCTGGATGATCCCACCGACAACTCTGGCCAGGAACAGAATAGAAAGTCCTGGTTAGAATGGGAGAAAAATATGGAACAACAGCAACAAAGTAGAGTAGACGGACGAATCTAGTAGAGGCAGAAAGAGCTCCAAAATTACTGCCCGTGTCATCCTTCCAGCGTGGAACTGAAATCACGTGCACAGGCCACCTCTCAACCAAACAGACTGGTTTTAAAAGAAGCAAAGTCACCCACAAGGTATGTGCTTCTTAGAAAAACCGATTAACTACATGCAACCAAAAGGGCAAAGGGTCCCCAAACAAAGCTGAAAGAGCAGGGGAGGTCAAGGAAATCAGAGACTGCAAACAGGGACTCCAGGATGGAAAGGAGGAGGAGAGTGCTGAGACATTTGGAAGACGGTAACTAACGCCATGGAAGAGTCTGTGTATGAATTAACGAATGGAAAACAAATTTGCTGTGAAAATTTTTATAGAACATACAATAAAATGCTCAAAAATGTGAAAAACAAAAAACAAAAAAAACAACTTAAAAAAACCAAGATCCTCTTAATGTCACATCAGCATTTGGAATGGTTACCATCAAAAGGCAGCTTTTGTATGAGTTCCAAGCTTTCTGTATCTGTGAGCTCTATTCCCATGTTCCCCAGAATCCTTTTCACATCTTTGCCATCAACATCTCCTCCTTAAAGAAAAAGACAAACACCACGATAAATATGAATTTAAATCTTCATCTAATGTCTAATGATTCTAATAATGAAAAAGAATTTATGGATTTGCAACATGTGCAGAGGCCATGGGATGTCCTTAAAGAAATGGACATTCACCTCAAATCATTTGCTTTCTAAATCTTAATAAAGGAAGCCACACTCATAAGGACAGTGGCAAGGCAACTCTATTCCCAGAGAAATTTGCTGCTGCCGCCGCCGCTGCTATTATTGATAGCTGCCACCCAGTCTGTTTTGACTCACAACCACCCTGTGTAACACAGAACGAAGCATCTCTTGTTCCTGTGCCATCCTCACAATTATTCTTATGTTTGAACCCTTGTTGCAACCGTTGTGGCCGTGGTGGAATCCAGCTGGTTCGGCAGAATTGATACCTAAATATTTGTTGAGTTCAGCAACTGGTTGTTAACATGGCACTTGTAATCAGAGCTACCACTAAGGTGGGTGGCTGGCAGTCACCCAATATAGAAATAAAAAAATTTTATTTCTTATTCTTTTTAATGTTCATATGTACAACAGTGTAGTCTAAAGTGCCTGTAGTATAATGTTCATTCTGTCCATCAGCATAAAAAACTAGACAGAAGTATGCTTGTAATATTTATTTATTTACTAGAGAAAACTCATTATGCTTTTGATGAAATATTACATTTTTACTTAAAAAATATGTTACTCCAGTAAACAAACATATACCGTAATGAGAAAAAGTGCCAAACAACCAGAAGGTGACATGCTGTCATTCATTTCAGCTTTGTGCTATGCCCCAAATTCCCATTAGCCAGTATGAGTAAATTATGCAATTCCTGGAAGTCTTCAAAGAGCTAAAAATATCTTCAGAACATTTGCTGTAAGTTCAGCAGAAGCAGAAAGGGTTTTTCAAAGATGAACATAATATGTTCGGAGAAGAGAAGTCACCTGTTTCTAATATATCCAACACAATGACTATTGTCTAATAGGCCTAATGGGATTCTACTCCTACAGTGAAAAGATGATTAAAGATAAATCACACAGCCATTGATGGTGAGATAAAAGCGAAAATTGCAAGGGAGGATGCCAATCAAGAAGCAATATGGAAATATCTTAAATAACAGTTTTATTGTTCTTTGTGAGGTATGATATTTTAATGAAAACTAGAACATAATCTAGTTTTGTGTACTTCTTTCATTATTATTATTTAAGTATTAATGTTTGAAGTAATAAACTACCTTTTAATATATTGTTTTTTAATACTTAAAATGGTCATTAGGGAAGTGAACCAGTTGTTAAATTACTTTAATTCCACCACTGCACTATATCAATCCATTTCATCAAAAGTCTTCCTCTTGATCACTGCCCCTCCACTTTACCAAGCATGATGTCCTTTTTCAGGGACTGGTCTCTCCTGACAGCATGTTCAAAGTATGTGAGATGAAGTCTCGCCATCCTTGCTTTTAAAGAACATTCTGGCTGTACTTCTTCCAAGACAGATCCAACACTGATATTGAATTTTTCATGTAATTCAGGTTCTTGGATTATTTGCTTAGCATATAGATTGAATGAGTATGGTGAAAGGATAAAACTCTGATGCACACTTTTCCTGATTTAAACCAGGCAGTAGTCCCTTGTTCTGTTCACATACTGCCTCTTGATCCATGTACAGATTCCACATGAATACAATGAACTGTTCTGGAATTCCCGTTCTTCTTGAGGTTAACCAAAGTTTGTTATGACCCACACAGGCAAATGCCTTGGCATAGTCAACAAAACACAAGTAAACATCTTTCTGGGATGCCCGGCTTTGAGTTCCTTGTTCCACATCCTCTTCTGAATCCAGCTTGAATTTCTGGCAGCTCCCTGTCAATGTACTGCTGCAACTGCTGTTGGATGATCTTCAGAAAAATTTTACTTGCACATGATATTCATGATGTGGTTCTGTAATTTCCACATCCTGTGGGGTCACCTTTCTTTTGAATGGGTACAAATATGCATCTTTTCCAGGCTCTTTCCACAGCTGTAGATTCTATTTGGAGAAGTCCACTTGTATAGTCACTGCTTGTGTAGTTGAAAAAAGGTATTTGTGATGCAAAACACTGGTCTTACAAAATTCTATCATGTGACATCCAGCTTGGTTTCTATCCCCAAGCCACATTTCCTTTCTCTTTGTTTCCAACTTTTGCACTCCAATTGCCAAACATTGCGTGTTTGACCAATTTCAGACTGAAGACGTTGGAAGAATTATTCAATTTCTTCATCAATAGCTTTTGTGGTTGCAGAAATGTGAATGATACGATATTAACTGGATTTCCTTATATGTTGATAGATTTTATCCATCACAGATAGCATTGAACTTCAAGATAGATCTTGAAATGTTCCTTCTGAAGATGTTTTCAATGTCATTCCTCTCATTCCTGGCATAGTAAACCAATGGCCATTTCAGCTCACTAATACTTAGGATATAGATCATTATGCATTCCATTTCATTTTTCATTGACTTCCAATTTCCTAGATTCATTCTTCTTATATGCTAAGTTCCAATTATTAATATATATTTACAGCTGTTTCTTCTCGTCTTGAAGTGTGCCTCATCAGCAAATGAAGGTCTCAAAGTTTTACTCCATTCATGTTGTGGTCGAATCTACTTTGAGAAGGCAACTCTTCCTCAGTCATATTTTGAGTGTCTTAGAACCTGAGGAGCTCATCTTGTGGCACTGTATCTAACAGCGTTCCACTGCTATTCATGAGGGTTCAGTCCCTGACAATATTCTGCTTCTAATCACAAGGTTTGCAGTGGCTAATTCCTCAGAAGTGTACAGCCCATTCCTTCTCTGTGGTCTGTTCTTAATTTGGAAGCTTTGTTGAAGTGGTCACCTCCAGTGATCCTGCTGGTCTTTGAAACACCAGTGATATAGCTTCCAGCATCATTGCAATGTTCAAATACAGTAAGATAGACTGAAAGACAAGTGGTGAGTGAAATCTGCTAGTCTTATATTAAAAGTTATCTGAGGTCTTTACCAAAGATTTGCCTCATCTGTTGTTTTACTAATATAGGTTTTCAGATGTTCTGAAAAGGGCAAAGTACAGATGTTAAAAAAATACCAGAAAACAAGTGAAATGCTAACATTTGATTTAAAATGTTTAATAATAGGAGGTAATTTATAATTAACATGGCATTTAAGGAATAATGGCAAACTAGAATTGCTGTAACTAGTAAACATTTTAGATTTATAATTTTCCACTTGCCTGTAGTAGCTTTTATTCCTTCCATCACATCTTTCAGGGCAACTTTCCCATTAGCTACAAGAAAAAGTTCATTGAAGACAATGTCACAGGCTTAGAATAGAGACTTGACATGTATTTTGTGGAATAATATCATAAATGAATAACTTACATCTCAATTTTACTTGATACCATTTAAAAATTCATAATATCAGGGAACAAAGGTAATTTTTTACTAATTCAGAGGTCCCATCTATCTTGGAATATGAGTCAGAAAATTATACCCAATTCAGCATTTTGGATCCCATTATAAATCATTGTTGGGGATTGTTCAAGTATTCTGGTAATTCTACCACATGTACCAACATAAATTTAAGAGAGAAATCACTATGTGGTATATTAAAAAATGATTATTTAAGGAGATAGTTGCATTAGTAGGATTTCAGAGAAAAATAAAGGGAATCTGTATACTTATACTTGGAGGAAAAGTTGAGAAAAGAGAAGAAAGTCTAGCCATATCCAATATTGCTTGAGTAGGAAAAATTGAGAAAAACTTATCAGGGAGGCAGATGGAGTTTGAAGGTCAGGTCAATCTGAATTCTTTTTAAACTGAAGTTAGTAGACAGAGAAGTGGATAGAATTGATTTTTCTATAGTTTTTCATATTTCAATTAATTTTCTTTTTTACTAATCTAAATATCTAAGTAGCACCCTCAGCCATTCTTGGTTAGCATAGGGAAAGATATATACTACTCTTAGATAAACTGTAACGAAGATTCAAGATCCATTCTGACTTTATTATCAGTTCTCACAGCTTTGTAACATGTGCTTGCCACCTATTAAATCTATTTGTTAAAGTATACACTGTAGGAAAAGAAAAAAATATACTCTGAGGCTATATATAGTGCCCACCATCAACTTGTAGATTATCTGACAGGTTTTTCATTTCCTCTTCCGTGAGCCTGAGTCCCATATTCTCTAGAGAATTTTCCAGGTTATTTAGGTCAAGCTTCCCCTCTGAGAAAAGAGAAAGTGTAAGGACATGAAGAAAAATAATATTATACCAAAATTTTGCATGAATAATATTAATAGCATTGTTAATGACTGTGGTGGTTCATACTGCATCAATTTAAATAGGTTGAAACTGCATTTCAAGAATTCTCTTTCCTATGTATTCTGAGGGTTGGGTCCAGAGAAACTTGCATGGAATTTGGAAAGTAGAAGCGCTGTAGCAATGGTTACACTCTGAAAGATGGAGGTAGGATGCCAGATGCCACCACGGTTTGCTCTGCCGCTACAGTGACTTCTGGTCTTTAGGCTTACCACCAGAAGCAGAGACAGAAACCTTCATCAACTTCTTCACCAGCTCTCAGAATTGCCCAGAATTCAATCCCTATAATAAACTCCTTATTCCACATCATTCATGGTGGAATTCTTATTTCCTGACTGATACCCCAGCTAATACAACAACCACAAATTCTATTAAAACAAGGCCAAAAGGAAAATGTATGTCTTTGTATAATTACCATCTTAAAAAGGTTAAAACCCTAAACAGACTTATTCAAGTATACAAGTCAATAAGTTATTTAACATTAAATTTTGTCTTAGAAATAAGACTATAGAACAAGATAATATTAGGAGGTGTAAGCAAGTAGAACTTCAGACAGTCAAGCTAATATTGTACATTATAAGTAGGGACTGTCTTTATTGCCTGAATTTCTGTATTATTTTTACAGTTAACCAAATCTTTTGAATAACTGTAGTCTTTCACTTCATTTGTGCTGTCACTTCTGGGTTTGATGGCTTTTTATTGGGGGAGATGGGTATATTCAACTGAAAAGAATGAAACTTCCTGTAAGATAAAATAGATGCTGTCAAACTGTGGGTAAAGCTGACGTAATCAGAAATCAAGGAATTATACCAAAATGGGGGATCAGGAATAGCATAGAACAAAGTCTAGGGATATCAGACAATAAGCATTTTAATTGGGGTTCTTACTCACCCTTGAAAAACTTCACACCCCTCATCAATCTATGCTGATATACCTTTCCAGTACCTGGAAGAAAAGCCACAATTCATATAATAGTTAAATTAACCTATTACAATCACCATGTAATATAAGTGGAATAAATATAGACAGAACACTTTTATAAGACTTCTGCCTAATTTGTATTGTACTTCATCTAATATAGTGAAGTTAAGCAATAGAAACTTTTCTCATTGGGACAAACCTTTCTATTGCTGAGTCTAAGTATGGCATTCCTTCATTCTGTTTTCTATTTCCTATCTTTATTTCTTTCTCACGGATCTGCTATTTTTCCCTCTTTTCATTTTTGCTTATAATAAAAGCAAATTTATAAGCCTGAGAGTTAACAGAATGATTAACTGTTAATAACAATTTTTGTCTGAAGGGTTCCTCAACTTCTAATATAAATTCTAAATGATGATGACAAGTTTGCCATACTTGTGTAACTTAGAACTCAGTGTCTTTAATCTTTTGTTTCTTTTACATTTTTTAGAGAAAAATAAACAGAAATTCCAAAAATTTTGGAATTTATTACCCAGTCCCTGGAGCCAGTGGCATCTCTGCAATGACTTACCATCAGTTGGCAGTGATTTCATTAGTTGCTCTTGTTCCTTATCTGTGAGCTCAATCCCCATATTTTTCAGGACATTTTTCAGATTACCAGAATCAACCTTGTCTCCTTTGAAAAGAGGGGACATGTGAACTTTAGGCAGTATGGTATGCTCTACTATAAAATAGGGTATTCAGTGTAGGATAAGGCCATTCTAATGTTCAGAATGAAAAGTCACAATGAAAAGAAGACATTCCTAGTGGTAGAGTCACTGTGCTTGTTTTGTGATTTAACTTATAATAAGCTAAAGAACATTTTTTTCTAAAGTTGGGAAAAACAACTATCAGGATGAAAAAGAATATTGATTAATAAATTGTGCTTGATGACAATTATTTTATTTGGGGAATATACAATCTTGATCTTTTAGTTTAACTATATCATTTGTGTTATCTCTCTACTTATGTTTATTAAACATTAGTAAAATGTTTTATTGGCATAAACAACAATGGCTTTAGGATTTTAAATAGCCTGAAGCCTATTGTAAGACTCACTGTCATTGAGTCAATTCTGACTCTTAGTGACCCTATAAGAGGAAAGCTGCCCCTCTGAGTTTTGAAAACTATAATTCTTTATGGGCGTAGAAAGCCTCATCTTTCTCCTGTGGAGAGGCTGGTGGTTAGGAACTGTTGACTTTGTGGTTATCAGCCTAATTCGTCCTATATTAGGCACCTGGTCATTTTATATCAATCTAAGGGGCCATATATGTATATATTTTATTATGAAACATCAAATTTCAATAAGATAACGGAAATACACTGAAAGGTAATATAAAGCACTAAAATGGCAAACTTACAACAACCTCTCACCTGTGAAAACTTGCACTTTATTCATCAAAGTTTCTAGAGAAGTCTTCTCATCAACTGTAGGAAGAGGTCAAAGTCACACTAAGATATAAGAGACTCATAAAACGTTGTGAAACAGAGCTTGAGAATAAAAATAATAGATCCTATTTACGATGTGCCAGGCACTGTCCTAAGTGCCTATACTTATTGAAGAAATAATTACTGAACACAGTCTTTGCTATTCTTTGAATCCAATTTCTATTGCCATCCTGAGGATTAGAAAGAAAACCTTAAATATTAAAACAAGCATTGTAACAATGAGAATTCATGGACAGTTCTATAATATTTCAACTTTATAAGTGTTAGTCAAACTCTTGGATGCTAGGGAAGCACTTCAGAGATGTAGCACCATCTCAAGAGCCTGTATTTTACTATGAAAAATGTAAAAGACTCTCTAATACTAATCATACACTCAAGTATAAAACATAAAAATCATACATACTAAGTAAAATGTGTTAATGCAAACTTTTGTTTTAATGTGGAACTGGCTATTTACACTCTGTCTTCATTCTTGACTACTGTCAGGGTTGGTCACCAATTCTAAAGTCCCTTTCATTATGACTTTGATTACCAGTAGCTCTTATATCTGAAGTCCCTCAGGGTAACTATGGTATCTGAAAGTTTACTTACCATCAACAGGGAGACTTTGAACCAGATCTTTAAGTTCCTTATCTGAAAGTTTGATTCCCATATTACCCAGGACCTTATCCAGGTTGTTGACATTAACTTTCCCACCTAAGGAGACAGTGTGTAGAGAAAATTATGTAACTGTAAAGAGAGGTACTTAATCTTTTTGGCAACACACCTTATTGTGAAGATTACATATAATTTCAGAGGTGGTATGTGTTCTCTCAAGTCTATTCACAGACCCTCTGATCCTTATTTATTGTTTATGGATTAAGAAAGATTGTTCTAAAGTACAAATAAACATTAGATTTAACAAAGAGGTTAGAGACTTTATGTTTAAACAGTCAACTGTGAAGTTAGAATTAAGGCTGTTTTCCATGAAATTTGTTTGGGGGACTAGCCTACACAACATAACATTTTAAAAGGAGTTAGTTGAATAAATACTAGGAGATTCTGGTTGTAGAGGCAAACATTATTTACTTCTCACCATAACTTAATTATGGCCACTTCTGAATATTATTCGTGATTTTTGAACACAGAATTTCTAATCCAGTTTTATTTGTTGTTGATTACATTTCTGAGACTCACTGGTAATCTGTTCTGTCACTTTCTGGTATGCTAACTTGAAATTCTATTATTTCTTCTGTTGAAAGTTTATAAAACCCCGAGAGAGTGGAGAAGTTTCTTCTTAGATATAAAATAGGAGATGATTAGCTAAAATAGTCACTGGTTTTTAGTGGGGGAATTTTTAGTGTAGTGATTTGCAATCAGTACATATGACAGATGGCAGCATTCACAAATTTCATGTCTGGCAACATTACAAATATGAATGTCCCGTAATTCATCTACAGTCTCATTATACTTCTCACTCACTTTTAAGAGATTTCACACCTTCTAGTAACCGGTTTTCATAGATATTGTTGTCATCTGTAAGAAAAGGAAGAATTCCGTTTAGAGAATTGTGAATAATTATGAGAATATTCAAAAGAGAACTGAGTTTTGAGACTTTGCACCATACATCTATGATTTAATAAAAGAATTTTACAGAAAACTAGGAAAATTTAGCCCAATAGGCCCTCTACAACATAGTGGTTTTGAAGGAGCTCTGTGGCATTTTGAGCTGATAACCACAGTCCACAGTTGGAAACCACTAGCAGCTCCGCTGGAGAAAGACAGGGCTCTGCTCTATGAGAGAGTCACAGTCTCGGAACTCACAGGGACCATTCCACCCTGTCCTGCAGGGTTTCTCTCCGTTGGCATTGACTCCCTGGCAGTGAGGTTTTTTTGGTTCTGCCTTTATTCACTTTATTTTAATCTCAAGGGAGGTGCTGTCAGTTAAGCCTTGGAATGCTAACCACAAGGCCAGCAGTTCAAAACCAACAGCTTTCTGTGGGCGAAAGATCAGGTTTTCAATAGCCGGGCACCATCAGCTTTCTTCGCCACATTTGCTTATGCACCCATTTGTCTTCAGCAATCGTATCATGGAGGTGAGCACACAATGATATGATTTTTTGTTCTTTGACGTCAGATAACTGATCCCTTCAGTATCCAGCTATCAAAAGATATAGCGTCTGGGGTCTTAAAGGCTTGAAGGTAAACAAGCAGCCATCTAGCTCAGAAGCAACAAAACCCACAAGGAAGATGCACACTAGCCTGTGCGATCACGAGGTGTCGAAGGGATCAGGTATAAGGCATCATCAGAACAAAAAATCTTACCATAGTGAGTGATGGGGGAAGTGCGGAGTGGAGACCCAAAGCCCATTTGCAGGCCACTGGAGACCCCCTTGCAGAGAGGTTTCGGGGAGGAGATGAGCCAGTCAGGGTGCGATGTAGCAACGATGAAAAATACAACTTTCCTCTAGTTCCTAAAGGTCCCCCCCCCATCCACCCACTATCATGATCTGAATTCTACCTTTCAAGTCTGGCTAGACCAGAGGATGTACCCTGGTACAGATAGGAACTGGAAACAGGGAATCCAGGGTGGATCATCCCTTCAGGACCAGTGGTGTGAGTGGCAATTCTGGGAGGGTAGAGGGAGAGTGGGTTGGAACCAATTACAAGGAACTATATGTGACCTCCTCCCTGGGGAATAGACAACAGAAAAGTGGGTGAAGGGAGACATCGGACAGGGCAAGATATGACAAAATAACAATTTATAAATTATCAAGAGCTCATGAAGGAGGGGGGAACGGGGAGGGAGGGGAAAAATGAGGACCTGATGATGGGGGCTTAAGTGGAGAGCAAATGTTTTGAGAATGATGAGGGCAATGAATGTATAAATGTGCTTTACACAATTGATGTATGTATGGATTGTGATAAGAGTTGTATGAGCCCCTAATAAAATGACAAAAAAAAATCAGGTTTTCTTCTTTCATAAAGATTTACAGCCTGGAAAACTCTATGGACAGTCAGTATAAATAAAGTCAGACATGACCTGATGGCAGTAGGGTGGGTAAAAGTAAAATTGGTGTAATAGGGATTCTGCTATAAAGGGAATTTCTATCCTTTTTTCAAACATATAGATTCTGTATTTTCAGAAGCCTAGGAAATAGAAATGGTTTCAGGGACTCTTAAATAGACACAGAAGTCTAAGAGCTCTTATCAGTTATATCAGTACTTGAAAGTCCTACCATCAAACTGCAGATGTCTCCTCAGATTCAGGAATTCCTTATCTGTGAGCTCTATCCCCATGCTTTCCAGAATAGTTTTCATGTCCTCGATATTAAGCTGCTCTCCTTAATAAAAAGATTAAAATAATGTGGAATTTAAGTGCAATCCAATGATTTCAAAGAAGGGAACTAATTCACAATGTCTTTAGAGCACTGCATAGCCTGGAGTAGGAGCCTTCTCTGAGATAAGAACAGAGATAATGGCTTTCTTGGAAACACTGTTTTCTGAGGCTTATAAGTGAGGGCATTCATTCATTATAGTGGTCATGAGAAGGAACTTGTAGGACATACATCTAAAGGGAACTATTGATCCAAGACCCCCAACTGATGCTTTGAAATTCAACTTTGTGCTTTTATAAGGCTGCACTTCCCACAAGCTGTTCCTCACCAATGACTTGAGTCTGGCGGGGATACTAAGGGAGATCGATTTCTGAGAGGCATGGGACTCCTGTGATGCTTGACTCTGGCTGGAGGATTCCTGGGAAGTCTTGTCAGACCTTAGCTTGTAAGGTAATCTAAGTTGCTTCCACCCGACTTTCTCGCCTCACTTGGGGTCAGACTTGCATTACAGTCTGAGAGTCTCCTATCCTTTCTGGGATCCCTACTTGGTTTTTTATTTGTACATGGGTAGTTTCCCCTAATGAAATAGGTGAATATTTCATCCTGCCTTGCTGTCTGTACCTTGGAAGATTTGGACTAACACACTCAATGAAAATGACAAGAAATAAGCATTATACACTTACATCTTTTGTCATTTAGAAAATTGCAAATGGCATATTCAACTGATTACCATGGTCTTTCCCAAAGATTTATTTTATCTTATATTGTAAGTTTTTACTATCTTAAAATAAGAACAATGAAGTATATATTTTTTCTTTTTATTCTTTTTTTTTTACAATGAAGTGTATTAATATAGAAGATATCAGAAAACATTCCAACTCTGGGATAGTGGATAAAGAGGAGGTAAAATAGCAAATTAGCATGGCAATTAATGTATAAAGAAAATTACTGTAAACAATCAGGATCTCACGTTTATATTTTCTCACTCACCTATAATCTCTTTGGTTCCATCTATCACCTTATTCAGATCAATTTTTCCATTAGCTACAAAGCAAAAGGTGTATTGAGAAACAATAAAAGCCTTAAGTTTAGAAAAACATATAAAGCATATATATTGAGAGGAAAGTCTTAAGGAATCCCATTTATATAATCTTATCCCATTTATGTTAAATTTCTGAATTTCTGTCTATGTTTGCAAAAGAAAAATGATAATTTTTCTGAGCCCATTGATATCGGTCAGTTGTCAAATAACCCTCATTTTAGGTACTTCCACAATACTCAGACAGGAGCCATAAATACACCCTACAAGGCCAAATGAATTATACTGGGGCAAGGGAGGCTTGAATGTGCTAAGATATATGAATATCATTTCAGGAAGAATGGTGGGGAGAATCTACTATATTAAAGAGAGCCTGGGAAGTGTGTGTGTGTGTGTGTGTGTGTGTGTGTGTGTGTGTGTGTGTGAGTGAGAGAGAGAACCAAACCAAACTAGGAGCAATATAAACTGTAAGGTGAACTATGGGAGTTCACCCTTCTAGAAGAGTTAACATTACAAGAACCAAACCCACTGCTGTTGAGGTGACCAACAAAAAGAATTTCCCCTTTGGGCTTTTGAGGCTATAAGTGTATTCAGGAGCAGAAAACTCCATCTGGTGGATTCCATCTGCCCATCTTGTGGTTAGCAACCTGACAGGTAACATGCTATGCCACTAAGGCTCCTTAGAAGAGTAATATGCTCCCTCAATCTTATACTGCCATCACTACAATTTGGATTATTGTTATTTTTAGTTGTCATCGAGTCAGTTCAACTCATAGCGACCGTATGTATAACAGAACCAAATGCTCCCTGGTCCTATGCCATCCTACCAATTGTTCTTATGTTTAAATTCATCTATGCAGCCACTGTCAATCCATCTTGCTGAAGGTCTTCCTCATATTCTCTGTCCCTGTTCTTTACCAAGCATGCTGCCTTTGAAGGATTGGATTCTCCTGACATGTCCTAAGGATATGGGATGAAGTCTTTCCATCCTTGCTTAAGAAGCATTCTGGTTGCACTTCTTCCAAGACAGATGTGTTTGTTCTTTTTGCACTCCATGGTACTTTCAATACTCTTCACCAGTACCATAATTCAAATGATCAATTCTTCAGTCTTCCTTATTTAATATCTAACTTTACATAATTTCATGTCAACTTGATAAACAAGTATAGGGGTGGAGTCTAGCTTGTTAATCAGGTCAAAGCCTGATGATGCCTCCTTGTGGGTGTGACCTTCTCATGAGGATTCTGGAAACTTCCTCTCTTTCGACCTGGAGGTGGAACATTCTCTCTCTGCTTCACCTTCCTGCTATTGAATTACTTGGAAAGCTGGAGGAGCCATATGGAGACCACACACCAGTGCCGATAGGCTTTCACTGGCATTGGATCCACAATACTTTTCACCCACTGGCGTGTGATCTTCCTGCATTTGGCATCATTATGAGTGGCTACGTGAGTTTGAAGAGGAATTTATGGACTCAAATTGGACATATGAACTAAGATCAGACTTATGGACTTGATCTGGACTGGGCTGAGATGTTTTCTTAATATACCTTTGCTCTTTGATATAAAGCTCTCTCTTACACATACATGAGTGTCAATGAATTTGTTTCTCTATTCGACCCGGTCTAATGCACTCTGTCTCTTAATCCCCTTTTCAAGTTTATAGAATATTTTGTGGCTGGGAAATTGATTTTACATGTTACTCCTACAATTCTAAAATATATATAAGCCTTTATACTCTGGTCTATCATTTCTTTTTTGAATTTGGTATTTATTTCTGTTTATTCTTTGATTCTGAATTTTACAGTAATACACATTTGTCTAAATCATTAATCTGTCCAGTGGATTCTCGCTCCTACTGACCTACAGTTCGAGTGGAATTGTTCCAGTTCATTTCCAAATTTGTAAATCTTTATGCAGATAGCCTCATCTTTCTCTCAAAGAGTGGCTGGTAGTTTTGAACTTGTAAACTGACCTTGTGGTTAGTGGCCTAATGGTTAACCCACTATACCATTGGGCCTCCTTAATCTAACCCTAAACCTTTATTAACAAAACATTTTTTATTGCTTCACTCCTTTTGTGTTCTCTGTGCTTTTTAGAAGATTTGTCCATCTTGCTTTTCTAAGTTTTCTGAGTGCTTTTTATTAGGTTCCAATTTGTAAGAGGTTAAATATGTATATACTTTTCTACCTTTTCTTAATATCTAACACATAATATATATTTTAATTAAGTTCACTGCTTAATTCTGATACAAAGAATATGCCTGTTTCCTAAAATATATTAAAGAATTCATTCTTTCTCTCCATATTGGAAATGTTTCAATAGCACTGGAGTTGTTTGTTGCAATAGACTTTCAAATCTTGACATTTTCAAGTCTTAATAATAACATACTTTAAAAATAAAAGAAATAGAAGATGAGCCATAAAGGGAATAATTCTTAAGAAAACACTTTCCAAAGAAGTGAGGTATTTTAATTGAGCTAAATTCAACTTGGGGAAATCTGGGAGCCAGGAAAAACTAGCTATCTTTTACTGATTTTTCCAACCCAACCGATTACTCTCTTTGATGCAGGAATTTGGGTGAGGAGACCCTCAGAAGGAAGACAGAGAGTGAGGGCCATGAATGAAAGTGGGGAAATACCATCAACAGGAAGATTTTCTCTCAGCTGCATGAGTTCTTTCTCAGTAAGCTTAATATTCATATTTTCCAGAAAGGAGCCCAGGTTGTTGATATCAACCTTTCCTCCTTAAGAAAAACAGAAAAGGAACATGATATTATATAACTGTACAATAAAAATAGACAATGGAAAAAGTTTGATTTGCATGTTTGTATTGTGATTGATATTTCTTATAAGAAGACTATCAGTTATTTACATTAAACCTTTCCAAGAATACCCATAAAGTCATGAAGAGGAAAGAAAGTGAAACACCTTTTTCTTGATATATATGTTGATAGCAAGCCTACAGAGCACAGAAGTTCTTAAGAAGTTTACTGGCAATGGGACCTGAAGCCAACTTACATATTACTTTTAACAGTGCTAATAGCATTAATAAGTATCTATCTTATTGCTCAGATCCTCAGATTAGTTGTGTCTATTGCACAACAACTTTTTTAACTGCAATGAAGTGAACCTAATCTTCTACTTCCATTTTGCCATGCCTAAATAGAAAAATTCAAAGATATAATAGTATTTCCTATGAAGATAAAAGTATGTATATATAGCATTTCTGTGTGGAGTGTAGATATATTGAAAGAGGCAAAAAGAAAAAGGAGAAATGTGAAGATGGAGACAGAGCCCAAATTATATATAATGAAAGCATATAGATTTCAGACTAAAGCAGTAGTACAGTATGATTCTGACTTACTTTTGAGAGACTTCACTTCATTCAGTAACCTATTCTTATGCATTTTTCCATCACCTGTTTTTTAAAAAAAGGCTTTGTTTGTGGGAGGGAAATTGACAAATAAAAACTCAATTCATTTCAAAAAAGAAACACTTGTGATTTATCCAAGAATATTTAATTGTATTTTACATCTAAGTAGTAATAAAGTTAAAGAATTCTGAAATCTCTAAATGCACCGATGCTTTATTTCACTGGACCATTTATAGAAGAATTCTACCTTGTTAGAATATACATAGTTAGAAAGAAGAAATGTCCTTTATATATATCATGCTTGTGTATACATGAATCTTCTTTTTTGTCCAGTTTCTATTCTTTAATTGGGATGTGTTTTTATTAAAAATAACATTTATAATTATTTGTCATACCATTGCAAATATTTACCTAATTTATTTTTTCACAACATGAACAAGTTTTAAATATTTATAAAGTCAAATTTATCTTTTTCATTTATTATTCTGAGTTTTTGAAGGTAAAGATTTCTGCAATTGGTTAAAAAAAAGTATGTGTTTATATTTATGTGTGTTTGCATACAGACAGGGAGAATGAGGGAGAGGGAAATAAAGGGTAACACAAATGGGGGACTGAACAAATAGGGTAAAAGGTATATGGGAGCACTATGCTTAAAACTTTTCTGTTTGAAATTATGTCAAAATAAAAATTATGTCAAAATATTATTTATGGGAACAAAAAATCTATCTAAAATATTATGATTATCTAAGTGAGTCAAAGAGAAAAAAAACAAGAATCAAAGGCTACTTAATAAAAATGATAATGTAAAGTATACATCTGAATCTATGAAATAAGGCTAATAAGGAGTGAAAATAAAAATCAGTCAACTGTTTAACCTTAAAAATGTTACAAAAAGAACGACAAAGTCCTCTTGTTGTTAGTTGTCACGGAGTCAATTCTGACTCCTGGCAACCCCCTGTCCCTAAGAGAAAAAAAGGAAGGCACTGACAATAATCAAATCAGAAATTAATTAAACAAAAAGTAAAAGAATTGATGAATCTAAAAGTCTGTTCTGTGAGGGAAGGGATAAGTAATAACACAGATAAATAATAAAAATATAGCTAAAAAGTTAAAATATAGAGTCATAAATCAGGATGGGAAAATAAATATAAGCAGGTAAAACTGTAAATTAAAAGAGAATATTTTAAAATTTAAAACAAAAATTCTGCGCTGTAATCTCTGTTTGATTGAACAATAATCAGAAAATATAAATTACTAAAATTGGTTGGAGGAAAAACAGAAAACTGAAAGAGTTCACTTATCATGAATATGCTTGAGTTCATAATGTTCCCTCTTCATGGTGGATTACATCTTTATCATAATATTATTTACTTATTAATGACAGGTTTCTATGGGAGAGTTCAGAGACCTCAAACTGAAATCTGTATAACAGTGAAAAGGTTTCTTAATTTTAACTTTTAATTTTTATATAATTTCAGGTTTACCTTAATTGGCACAGAAGTCTCATATACCTTTCCCTCAGATTTCCCAAAGGCTAATATTTTACCACAACTGTTTTATATCCTTTCTGTATGTGCACATGATGTTCTTTTCTGAATGTTTGAGAGAGAGCTGCAGATATGCTTTTTAATACCTAAGTACATTAGTGTCTGGTTTCTAAGAAAATACATAGATTCTTCTTTTTCCTAACTACAGTACAATTATCCAAATCAGAAGATTAAGATGACAGGTCCAACAAACTAACATATAGAATTTAGTCCAATTCACAATTCATGTCATATGCAGCAAAAAAATTTTGCATTAAATTGTCAAGTCCCTTTATTCTTTAATCTGGTACCATTCTTCAGTCATTTATCATCACAGACAAGTATTTGAAGGATACAGGCCATTTATTTTGTAGCATATCTTTCAATTTGGGTGACAGGTTATTTAAAAATCCCAAACTTTTTCTTATAGGGTTTTGGGTATTGTTTAAAACTTTAAAGTTTCCCTCTCAGGCTTATAAAACCTAGCTGGTAAGAAGGTTCCAGTTCAATTCTTTATACTTACTACTAGCTGGCAATGTTTTCAGTAGGTTTGCCTGATCTGTATCAGCAAGTTCAATCCCCATATTTTTCAGTACACTGTCCAGGTTGTTGACATCAATCTTCTCACCTTTAAAATATTAGAAACAGCCTACATTTTGGTTGAATAACAAAAGTACAATATGACTTCCCTATTCATTATATGAGTCATAATTGACTTGATGGTAGTATTTGTTTTGTTCTTTGTATTCATTACACAAAATCTTTGGGGAGATGTTGGCCAGTGGAAGAGGCAACCTCATCATGATAGCTGCATACAGCACCTGCTTCTGAAGGAGGAACATGTGTTCACTGGGCTAGCAAGCCAAGTAAACCCGGTGTGTGTGTGGATTGGGGGTGGGAGGCGCAGGTTGGAATATGGTGCTTTTTTTTTTTTTTTTTTTTTAGGAATGCATAAAGACCTGTGGAAATCTCAACAACAACAAACCCCAAAACTTTTGTGGGAGAAATCAGAACTTGAATTTTTCCTTTAATATAAATCGGTAAAAGTTCTTTTTAAGTTCTGGGGAAAACATAACATTGTAAAAAATAAATAATTCATATTATTGTTCAGTTAGACCACATTGGTGACAAATATAATTTTATAAAACTTTGTTTACAATATAATTGCTGATAATACTAATGGAAGTTTTCTAAAATTCACCATGACATTGACGGAACCTGCCTAAAGTTTCATACAGGGAAGCTTTCTATTAGGAAGAAAAGTTTTACAGAATTCAGGGGTTCTTAATAATATTTAGTCCTAGAAACATTTTTTTTTCTTTTTTTTTCTTTTCTTTTTTTTATTTTATTCTCACTTTTATTTTATTTTATTTTTTTTAACATTTTATTAGGGGCTCATACAACTGTTATCCCAATCCATACACACATCCTAGAAACATTTTTAATACTACTTTGCTTTAATTTATTTTGCAAAATTTAAATTCAAGAAACCCCAGGCTTTCTATCAGGTTTAATTGCAAGATATTGGGAAAAGTCCATGGAAAAATCTTTCATTGAAATGTCCTGGGAACCTCAGTTTTTTATAATGTTTCACTGACCTGTAAAAGGTTTCACTTCATGCATCACCTTTGTCATGTCAACTTTCCCACTGACTGCAATAGAATATCCACATTATTCATTATAATATAATAATTATAGCAAGTATGATAGTGGTGATAACAAGCAACATTTATGGCATATTTTATTCTATTTTAGTCCCCTCATTAGTGCGAATCAAAAGATAAATTTTAGGAAAGGAGTAGGAGGCAAAGGGCATAAATAGAGGCCTAAACACAGACATGTACATATGTAAATAGATTTATGATTATGGAGGAAATAGACCTATGTGCATATATTTATAGGTTTAGTAGGGTAGCAGGTGGACATTAGGCCTCCTCGTGTGCATTCCCTTAATACAAGAGCACTTTGCTCAGCTAAATGGTCATTCTATGATACCACCTTCTTGACATGGTCGCTGAAGACAAATGTGTGCATAAGCAAACATGGTGAAGAAAGCTGATGGTGCCCGGCTATCAAAAGATATAGCGTCTGGGGTCTTAAAGGCTTGAAGGCAAACAAGCAGTCATCTAGCTCGGAAGCAACAAAGCCCACAGAGAAAAAGCACACAAGCCTGTGTGATCACAAGGTGTTGAAGGGATCACAAAACCATCATTTTGTGATCACCTTCCCCATATAAACACTGAAGAGGAATGTGTGCATAAGTAAGTATGGTGAAGAAGGCTGATGGTGCCTGGCTATCAAGAGATATAGCATCTGGGGTCTTAAAGGCTTGAACGTAAACAAGCGGCCATCTAGCCCAGAAGTAACAAAGCCCACATGGAAGCAGCACACCAACATGTGTGATCATGAAGGGTCGAGGGGACCAGGTATCAAGCACCAAAGGCAGGGGGAGGGGGGAATCATATCATCGTGAATGAGGGCAGCACATGACGGGGACCCAATGCCCATCTGTAAACAACTGGACATCCCTTGCAGAGGGGTAGTGGGGAGGAGATGAGTCACT